ATGCCTTTGGCATGATTTTGGCATCACAAACTGGTGCTAAAGACAACCAATGCTAACTGGACATGGGGTTATCCTCCCTCACCTGTACATTAGTGCAACAATGTACATTAAACCAAAAGTTATTCAATAAAATCTATTAGAAATAAAACCCTCAGATTATGGGGTTTTAGATTAGGTTCTGTCACAGGTATTTTTTCAGATAAGCTGTCTTGTTTTGTAGCAGATTTCATCTGATACTTTACTCTGTGGTAGAACGGGCTCTTAACTACAACTAGTCCAAAAAAATTGGGTTTAATAACAGAAAAAAAAGTGTTATTGCAAACATGTCTTTGGTCACATCTGAGCTATTACTGTGAAAGCAGGGAAACAATTTCACTGTAGCATTGGGAAGGGAACAAAAGTAACACAATCCCTGTAGATAGTGAGGAATGTGTGAATATTGGATGTTTAGTTAGTGGAAAAGAACCCATTTGCAGACACTGTTCTTCTGAAGGGCTCAAGGCAGAAATGTGGGCTGCAATATTTACCGTAGAATTTCAAATGATTCTGTGTTATAAGAAGCTGTAAATTGCTAAAAGGTGACCCCATGTCTTTTTATTGAACTCCCTTGATCCATTTTATCTTCACAGCATTTTTTCCCCAAATCTTCAGCCACAAGCCCTCGTTTGCAGACACTCATCTCCCCTGGGTTTTTGTACATAGTGCTGTAGACAATTTTTTTTTCCTAGAAAATGTGGGAGTCGTAGGCAAGTAGGTAGTGTAGATAATTCAAGGTTAATGACTAATCCTGACCATGGAAAGATCAAATGATGAACTGAACCTCCAAAAGATATTTCAAGTTTGCTCCAGGGGCCTGCCAGATGAGTGTTGCCAAAGCAGATTAGAAGAAGAACTCCCAATTCCTCAGAAGAGATACTGGGAGGTCAAAGGTTGAGGAAGACTCAGAAGATTTTGAACAGCCCTCTCAGATTGCATGTCCTGCCCATCCCAGCTTTTTGAGGCTTTTGAAAATCACACCCTTCTGGGCATTTTTTAGCTAGAAAGACAGCCACTGGCTGGGTTAAAATCTGTGCTTGAAAGCTCATCACTGTCTCCCTGGATCTGACCACCAGCAGGCTCTTTTAGCTCTTGAGTCTTCTACAGAGGTAAGATTACAAAAAATAATACCACAGAGAAAGCCATCCCTGTGGCTGTGAGCAAGATGAGTGTGTTTGTCACGTAAATCAGGGCTTGTTGGCAAAATGAGGGGCTCTCCAGGGACTCCAGCTGGAGCTCTCCCATGGTCCCACAGAGGGCAGGTTATAACCTGAGAGGGAAAGACCAAAGTGAGACAAGCTCTGGTGTTAAGCAATCCCTAAGATCAATTTACAGGCTTAAAGTGTAACTGGAAGCCAAGAGCACTGTATGATACACACAGGGCTTAGTGTACAGCAGTTAATTGGCTTAGTTAATAATACAGAGCCAGCTTGGGGTTTGGAGTTAGAACACTGGAGTTATTTTTTACATTGTCATAAGAAGAATACTTACCCTTTTTTAAAAAAAAAACCCACCCTATAAGTAAGTCTCATTGCTAAACACATCAGGGGTGTTCAAAAGGTGTAATGACAGAAAATCTGCCTGTGATGTAATTTAATAGGAACCATCACGTGATACTATTTGTGCATCACATTTTTCTTCCCCATGTGTATATTACTTGCAGATAGTAATTCTGCTGATACCTTGCTGCACATTCCTTACTAAATATGAAACTGGCAGAAATTTTCATCTTTAATCACTTTATCCATAAATCCCTTGTTTTTCCACTTTAGTTGTGAATGATGTTGTGAAGACATAACTGGAGTGATTCTCTGTGTTACAGGCACCAAAAATATTTTCAGCTGCCTGTGAAGGAAACTTTGGGGGAGCTGTGGGGGGGTCAGGGCACTGCCAGGGCTGCACGTGGGACTCACCTTTACTTGTTTGCCAGATCATTTTTACAAGCCATTGAGCCAGGCAGAGATTCCACTGAGAGGATGGAGTTTTGTGGTCAAAGTGATCTTCCCCTTGGTGCCTTTGAAAATAACCTACTTAACTGATATTATTACTATGCAGACATTTCATGTCACTTGTCTCCTGGATATGAAACTAAACCCACCATTTCAAAAGAGCCATTACTTTCTAAGTGTTTCAATTCCATGTTAGCAGCAGTTGTCACAGGCAGGACAGAGTGGGCTGTGAGGTTTCAGAGATCCCTTCCAGCATTGCCCCTCCTTATTTGTGAGCACTGGGCTGGGATCAGGGATAGATGAAGTGGATGGGCAGCTGAAGCTGCCCACTCCAACAAAAAACTTGGAGATAGTGTTTTTAGCACAAACACATCTTTGTACTGATACCCTGGGTTTCAGCTCATGCTGTGCAATGATGATGATAATATTTAGGTTTTCTGTGCCAGTTTTCCAGTTACTCCCTGTTGTATTTGTACTGGAGTGGCACCAGCTAGACACCACCAAAAAGGGTAGAAAACAAGGTGATCTCTCCCCTCCACAAGAGCAACAAAAAAACTAAAGAAGGAATTCTCCTTCCTGAGAAGAAAGCCATAACCTTGCTTCTTAAAGCATCTTGGGAATAGTTGGCATGCTGTGTGCTGCCCATCCTAAATGCAAGCTCACACACAGCCTCTGCCAAGAATGTATTTTTATCTTTCTTTGCTTCCAGTCCCTTTCCCTTTTTCTTTTGCCAGTGGCTGTAGATCACAGGGAGAGCACAGTGCTGAAGTGAGTATTAGTTGAGTGGAGCCTGGACAGAACCTGTTCCTGGCTCTGTGACTCACGTTCTGCTCGTAAAGCACAGTCACTCCATCCCCTCCCTGCCTTTGCTGAGAGGTTCCTTCACCCAGATGGACCTCTGACAGGGCAGAGCCCAGCTGATACCAAGGGGGCCTGGCTGTTAATTCTCATGAACACTGATTTCTGCACTTCAGGGCTATTTTTGTCAGACTTTCAGCCCAAGTATTCGATTTTCCAGCTGACATTTTCCTGTTCCATAAGGGAGGTGCCAATTGCTGAGCCACAGAGATGCACCAAAACTGCAGTCTGGAGAAACAGGTTTGGTGTCTTACCAGCTGTTTTAGCCAACAGGAATTCACAGATGTGTGAGTCAACTGCTTTAAAGCACAGAAACATTTGAGTGGGGCCCTGTTCCACAAAAGACAGGTGGCCTGGTCCTGCTCAAACCAAATGGCTTCTTGCCTTCCCTGTCAGCTCAGTCATCAGTGCTGTCACACCAGGTCATTAGTCATGGCATTTGCAAATTAATTCATGACACTTGCACCAGGTGAAGATGTTTCAAGTTGTGCTGAACTGATTTTTTCCCATTCAGGAATGGGAGGATGGGAAACAGTTGTTGGATTTGTTTCAGAGAAGTTACATGACAGCTTCAAAAGAAATGTGGTTAATAAGTTGTTGAGCACTTATGTTGTTCTGCCTGGGCTACAGGAGCCTTTAGCAGAATGAAATAGTATTTCTGAGCAGGCTTGTTTTTGAGAAGTCTTATTTGGGCCACTTTTCATAACAGACAGCCCAGGACTGGGTGACAAGTAAAAGATTCATGATGTAAGGATACTAATCTAGATGACAGCCCTAAATAACAGGCTAGAAGGTCAATTGCCTGGTGAGAAAGGCATGATGGCCTTCCTCAGGGTTATTGCTCCAGTCCTTCCCTTCATCCAGGAATGCCTGTAATTACAGAGAACATGTTCCTCACTGACAGATTGCAGGAAGTGTGAAGATGGATGCTGCTTCTCCTTAGGAAAAAAGTGTCCTTCCCTACATCCCTCCTAATCCAGATTCTTCTTAGACATTTTATTCAGCTCTAACCACAGTGGTGCTTTCAGCACTTGCTGGAGTCAGTGGGAGCTGGAAGATGGAGGGGTGAGGATGCCTCCTTTCCCTCATGGCATCAATATGTTCCTTACTTCGGAGGAACTCAAATACCTCACAGCATTGGGCTGGGTTTTTGCTAAAGAGCCTTTAAAGACATAATAAAGCAAACAACAACAAAAAAAGGCCATGTATTTGTTCCCAGCACACTTTGATCAAAGGGGAAGGAAATGGAAGCTGAGATGTGCTCACAAAGTGAATGAATCCCACAGCTCAGAGGAATGATGGTCATAGGGAAACACCCCCACCCCAATCCAGATTGGGTTGTGGCACATCCTGGTGAGCTACAGCAGCTTGGAAACCACATTGTGGGATCCTTTCTCTAGGGGGAGTCTTGTCTTTTTAAATACTTCTTGAGCCTTGGCAGTTAAATGCAATTGAGAATGCACCTGGCCAGAGTGAATGAACCTGGCCAGGATCGAAGCCCTTCGTGCCATGAACTTCAAACAGATGAGATTCCAATTAAACATCCTGGAAAGCCCAACTACAAAAAGTGAAATCTCATCAGTGACCTTTGAGAGAGTGACTGAGAAATGAGGCAGGAGCTGTCTTTGCATTCTAAAGGTCCAGGATGTAGAGGATTTCTATGCTTTGAGGTCATATAATGTAGGGCTGGAGAAGCTGGTTCTGGTCTTGGATGTGGGAAAGCCCTGTAGGGCCAGGTGCCTGGCCATAGCACATCCCAGCTTGTTAGTAGGGTCTCTGCAGTGATGCTGTGCTTGCAGATGCAGCCCAGGTACCTCCCAAAGGCAGGAATATTTGTGGGGTAGAATGGTCTGCAGACAAGTCTGTCTTCATCTGAGGGAAAAACACAGCCACACTGTAGAGAGTGGGGTTAAAGAGAGTGATGCAGAGTTTCTGTTTCTGCCTGGCATGGAGTCAGGAGGGAATATTCACTTGTATCCTGACACTCTCCTGCTTTGCACACCCAAAGGTAATCAGTGATCTCAGTGTGATGATAACGCAGCACCATGAGAGAACCCACGAATCCAGGAATTGCTGCCCATTTCTCACTGGTTTTAAGAGAAACATAATGTTTTATCACACCAGTTTGTTAACATTTTTTCTCTGGCTCCTTCCCAGGTGGGTGACTGGCCACTGGAGTCCCTGCTCTGCCACCTGTGAGAAGGGTGTCCAGCACAGGGAGGTGACCTGTGTTTATCAGCTGCAGAACGGCACCTACGTCAACACGAGGGACCTTTACTGCCTGGGCAACAAACCAAGCCCGGTGCAGAGCTGTGAGGGAAGGGACTGCCTGTCCATCTGGGAAGCATCAGAGTGGTCAAAGGTAGGAACTTCACTCAAGAAAGGAGCCAGACTGCCCAGAGCTCTGCCTTAATCCAGCCGAGGGCTTAAAATTCTGTGTGTTCTCGTGGTCAACAAACTCCCAGCATTGGAGCACTGGGTAGGACTGTTATTTGTGGAGATGAGGTTTGATTTCCATACTGGATGAGTTATTAAGGCAGGGTTTAGATATGCTTTAGTAACTACATCTTTCCATCTGAAAACTCTGACCAGGAAGGAAAAACATTTCGCTGACCTGAGGCCAGAAGTGTAGCAACCCACCAGGACTTCTGTCTCCATTTAAATGTGGTATGAAACAAATACCAGATATATCAGGCATCTGCATGTTGCAGAGAATGTACAATCCTTGGGCCTTATCCAGCCTTCCTTTGTCTAATTCCAGGAACATGAAAAAGCTGGTTATACTTTGTATAAAAGGTGCATCTCTGAGTAGCTGCAGAGTTAATTTTTTTCCCCCAGGTATTATAAATGCATTTCTGATATAAATGGCCTAGGCAATTAGACTGTGTTTTGATTAGCAGCAAAGTGAGCTGGGAATGTGCCTGCAGTTCCTGACCAGGACTTGGCTAATCCAGGGCAATTTTGTCTGTACTTTGTGAGTAACATTCCTGATAGGATGTCCATGTTAGTTTTGATATTGTATCTGTTGGGCTTCTCTGAATGATGAGATCCTTTCACTCCTGGTGCAGCACTTCCAGCTCTCCCAGGCTCATTCCAACCTGGCTGTGTCCTAGCTCTGTCCAGCAACAGCCCTTTATGTGAGAAGGATTCCTTGTTAGTCATCTCTGTTTGAAACAGTTTTAAACTCCTGTTTAAAACATTGTCAAAGAGCTTTTGCAAAATATTATTGTTAGAAATGGGCTTAAAAGTCACAGGAGCTCAGGATACAAGGGATCCTGAGGAGCAGTGTCTCTTCACGAGCACAGTGGGATTCCTTTGTGCACCTTCTGAGCAGGAAATCTTGGCTTGGCAAGAGAGATGACAGTTAAGTGAGAGCAGCGTTTCCTTTCATTGAGGTGCTGGATCTGTTCACTTGTGCAAGATATTCGTGTTCTTCCTGAGTTCTTTCATTTGAAAAGATGTGGAGAAACACACCAAAATTTTAATAAGTTGTCTGGTAGGTCTTTTGTGTGTCACAAACGTTCCCCTCTTTATTTCTTTTAGCTAAACCAGCTGAACTGTTTATAGCTGACACTGTTCTGATGGGGCAGTTCCTACCTGTTGTAGATGTGGAATTTTTACTTGAGTCTTTTGTTAACAATCCCAGGCACTTCTCTCTCCTTTTTATGGAATGGATGAAGTCAAGTTAGAGAAAAGTTGGAAATCCAGAGTGGAAATCTTCCATGTTTGTGACCACGTAACTCGTGTGCAAATACACAACATTTTTAGATAATTTTTTCAATACTGGTTTACTTTTCCTTTGATACATTTATTTACCTTTTGTCAGGGATATAATTGTCCACTTGTGCTTTTAAATGTGTTATTCTGGCACATTTCTGCTATTATGTAGCACAGTTGACTCCAGGACACATTTCATGCTCTGCCAGTGTGAACACTTCTCATACCTAGGACTTTTCTTCAGTGATAATCACTTTATTCCTTAGCATTTTAATCTGATGTTGTGGAATAAATATCACAATAGTGATATCATTTTATAAATCAATTTTCTGATGTATGTTTTTGAACGTCTTGGTTGTATAACACAGTTGATATCTGGTCCCCAGTCAAAAATGTCTGTTTTCAAAGCAAATTCCAATGCAATCTTCATCGTGGAAAAAATTAAGTTCCCTTTGTATTGCCAAACACTTGGGATTGTTTTGGACAAAGTACTGCTCAACCCATTTTTAATGACAAAAATAGAGGCTGTCAGGAAAAGGTGAATGTTTCTACTGTTATGGAGCTAGAGTAGAAAAAAATATGGATTTTCTTCAGATAAAGGAGCTGTGTTTTAACAGCAAAATTGTGTTGCTCCTTTGAAAAAACTCGTGGGTATTTAACTAAGTAATTTGTTAATAAAATCAGACATAATGATCTCAGGTGGATGGACTGCACACTTGTGGAGTCTCTGTAAAATCTCTATATTAAAAAATTCTTCATGAAAACGGAGGACTTGAGGAAAGTAAAAACACTCTTAAAGGGGGTGATTTATATGTGACCACCAAAGATCTGTTGGAAACCTTTCTTGCACATGCTGTTTTGTCTAGGGAAGTATATGCAGAATTAATCTGTGAATAGCTTAAAAGCTGTGGGAAGAACAAACAGTTGGTGTTTTTCCCAGACTTGCTTGTAAAACCCACCTAGAGATTTCTCCTACTGTGAAAAGCACTCCCACTTCAGCTTGATTTACTTGGAGTAAATTGGACTGTTTGGAAGATTTTATGTGTTGTGCTTTGTAGTTTGAGATGAACGAGTGCAGCCCTGGGGACTGAGGAAAATGATACATAATTTGGGAAAATCTGTACAACTCGGGGCAAATTCATGGCTTTAAGGTACCATTTAGGGCTCTCTGGCAGGTCTTGTGCTCTGAGGAGCCCAGCAAAGTGGTTACTGGAATCCTGCAAAGCCTGGAAGGATCCATCCATGCATCCAGCAGAACTGTACCTTGTGCTGGTCACAAAGATGTTCCATCCGTGGGGGGGTCACACAGTAGATGGAGTGGAAGGTTTCCCAGATTTCCAAGGAGTCACTCTGTAGTGCTCTGAAGTATTTAAAGGCATGTCTGTTTGCTTGCCAGCTCATAAACGCTTGTCATTCACGTCCTTAACAAGGGCAGCAGGTCAGAGCTGCCTGGATTGTGTTTTTAAGATGGTTAGACAGGCATGCTGAGATTTGTCCATTTGATGTAATTTATATCAAGCTGATGCTTGTTTCCAGCACAGACCCCCTGGATGGAGAAGCTTCTTGGAACACATTCAAAAGACCTCACAGAATATCTCATATCTTCGCTATTTATTCAGTGTCAGATCAACTGTCTTTTCCCTGCTGATCCCCTGAAGGGGAGAAACTTGACATGCCAGAGGAGGTTGGTTTTTATCTCAGCTGGTACATAGGTCATTTTTCTTGTCCCCAGTGGCTCTGCAAGAAAATGTCTCACTCTTCACCACTGCAGTGGCATGAGAGGGAAGAGCAGGCAGAGTGGGGACGTGGATTTAGGAGGCTGTGACAGCATCAGCAGATCTGGTGCTCTGTTACCAAACTGGTTATTGAGAACAGAAATCTGGTTTCCATTTGTGCCAGTGTCATTTTCCCACCTAGTACAGTCAAGGAAATCAAGACAAATTCTCCATTAAAACAGATTTTCCAGCCAGCCTTTGGCAAAGATAACAACTGGTTGACCAGATATCCCTGCTCTTTAGAAGCTACTTCCATAGAGCCCAGGCACAAAATCATTTGTGGGTAATTTGTGTTCACTCCCGTGAATGTTGGTTTGTTAAAATCCTTCAGAATTTACATAGTGATGAGCATGTGACAAACCAACAAGTGAAGGTGATGGATGGATGAAGGTGTTTCACGTGAAAACTGTGATTTTGCCATGATATGTCCAAGCTGTACTACAGAAACATAACAGTGGTCTCAGGCTACTGTGATTTAAAATTGCATTTATCACCACCATTTATCACCCTTGCTGCATCCCATGATACATCAAGGGATGTGGCAGTTCTGTGCTGTAAATCTCAGTGTGTACTTTCTCAGTATGGATGATGAGCTCTTAAACACCAGATTTAGTGGTTTTTTTCATCTGTAACACCAATTCCAGCAAAGAGCCACCTGATATTTTTCAAAGAAGGTTTGTTTTCCAGAATTGCCTCTTTTCATAAGTAAAATATTTCACTAGCAGGTACAATGCTTTCCAAATTACTCATTTATGAGTGGCTGAGATTATTGTAATAAAATCTTGCAGATTATCAGTTTTCCTCAGTGTTCACAAACCCATCTTTTCCTTTGAGCTGTGTTAGCAAGGTAAAAATTATTGTTTCTAAACACCCTGTACCAAAACCCAAATCCCTGCTGTTTTGCAGTGCTCAGCAGACTGTGGGAAGGGGATCCAGAAAAGAACAGTGACCTGCACAAACTCTCAAGGCAAATGTGATGCAGCCACCAGGCCAAGAGATGAGGAGGAGTGTGAGGATCACACAGGCTGCTATGAGTGGAAGACGGGTGATTGGTCCAAGGTAACAACAGATTTAACAACAAACACTACCTGTGGTTTTTTTCTAAGTGCAAAGATGTTCACAGAGCTGTCTGTATTAATTTAAAGTTGAAATTTTAATTTGGAAAGGAAGGGTTTAACTGGTTTTGGAAGTATTGCTAGGCTTTAAACACACCCATTATGCCATTTGTAAACCAAACATTGCAACAGAGGCTCATGAACATGACCATCAAGTTTTAGGGAAATCACTTTAGAGAAAAGTATTCCAAGCAGGATAAAACTGAATATTAGTTGGTTTCTGCAGTGACATCAGTGGAATTAATTCCTGAATGCAGTGGATTAAACCAGAGCAGAGTCTGCTCTGTATTTGCATTCTGATCTTAAAGTAATCCTTGGTTTTGCTTGGGAAGGAGACCTGGCAGTGTCAGAAACTCAGCCTTTGTCAATGTTGTTCCTAAAGCATCCTTTACATTGCTGACTCTGTGTTTGCATAGAGAACTGTAATTTCCCAGGAATATTATATTCCAGTTTGGTTTTCATCATATCTTTCTAACTGTCCTGTTCTTTAAAAAAAAAGCCTACTTTGTGTTCAGGAATGTACAGAATGTGCAGAAACCACTGGGATACAGTAGTTGCACTTTGCTTTCCAAAAACCCAAACTCCAGCAGGCAAAATCCAAGGAAGCAGAGGCCCAGGATGGGCAAATTGGCTTATCAGTGATTGCATTTTTTTGTAGGAATTGCAATTATTTATTTATCTATCCTGTCATAGATACATGGATATAATGGTGTCAGTGCTGGAGAATGCAGGAAGAACCTGTCACATACAAAGTGTCTGTATTTATGCTGAGCCAGGAATTTGTATCACAAGATGTTTAGTGTATTGAACATTATTTTATTCATAACCTGGCACTCAGAGTCCATGCAAGCTGACCAAAACAAACAGTCCCCACGTGTTAACAGGTGAAATAACATTATTTATTTAGTTATTTATTTGTGGAGTTTTAAAAAGTTTTGGCATGCCAAATTGCCCCAGATTCTCTTTGTAGGGAGGAATATGAAATAACTGTGTATTCACTGATAACATGGATTCATAGTTCAGCATTGTGTGAATAGTTCCAATCTGATAAAGACCCTGGCTCACTGCTGGGAAGGCTGCAGTTGTACATTGCTCACAGTAAATAGTGTTGTTGATAGATTTAATGTCTGCATGTGAGGAGGGCAGGTTCAGTGCAAAATCACTTGTTATTTGTGATTCTTAACTCAGGGTCAGGATCTTCCCTGTGCACGAGGGCACAAAAAACTTATGTGCTGCATATGTGTCCTCCTCCTGTCTGCAGAGAGCTTGTGCCAGTGCTCTGCTTCCCAGGAATTTCACCCTGTGTGAGTCCAGCAGGATGTTCTTGGACTTGGATTTGGTTTATAATGAGCATTTAAAATTCTAGACATATTGGTTAATTCTGACTGGACACTTAGGTCACACAATTAGATTCTTATTCTCTGAGTAGAAGGGTAAAAAAAGGCACCACTGGATTGCTAGACAAGGGTATGGGAAGGGACAGTTCTTAGAAGAGAATTTATTGTTCCAGAAACACAGATAGCTGAAATGTTTGGTGTGGAATTCAATTCTTCACAAATCCTGAGAGGAGGATTTTCATCATGAGGATCCAGAAGCTTTAATGCAGGGCTTGGACTTAGGGGGACTTTACAGCTATCAGCAACTCCAGCTTAAAACAGCTCCTCCTTTAAGGAGAAACACAAAGTCTGTAGCAGTTAGATTATAGTGAACTCTTTAAAATTCATCCTTCCAGGGCAAAATTCCACTGTAAAACATTTGTTCCCAGTCCTGTAAAAATCACTGTGAGGAAGCTTTGTGCTGACTAAGATGGAAACTTTTTCCATTAATACAAATTGATCTCAGAACAAGCAACAACTTTGTGCAATTAATTTTCTTGTGCATTTGTTATTTATTGTTAAGAATCATCAGGGAAGCAAGATTTAGCTAACAGTGGTAATTATCACAGATTAAAATAATGGGCTTTGATGCTTTGTGTGCAAACAGCTTGCCTGGTGATTTGGCCTCTGATCCTTAATTTCCCAAACCAAAATCCTTTGAAGATGCTGGGAAGTCATGTAAGAAAGAGGCAAACCCTCATTTAAAAACTCAAGTCCAGATACAACTTGTAAACAGAACAGGCTGTTTGGGTGGTAGTGACAGAGTGTTATTTTTATATTGGTAGTGGTTGTTTTGTAGAACACATGGACTCTGTGTGTGAGAGGACAGCTCCCAGCCCTGTATAAATAACTCACTTCTGACAGCAGTGGATATGGTTATCCTGTATAAGGTCCTGGATCCTGTTGCATTCAGCAGATGGGCAGCAGTAAAAGCTCCAAACCTGTGCCAGATGAGTTGTTTTATGTTCTCAGACCCTGTGTAGAGGAGGTGAGGGCAGGAGGCAGGGCCATGCAGGTCTGAAACCTGCACCCACCAGCCCAAACCTTGTCCACTGGCCTTAGCAATGGCTCTGCAGCCACTGCCCATGCTCTGAGGGAGAGGAATTTTATTCTATTTTCTGTCAGGTTTATTTGCAGATGGTCCTTACTGTGTACTGTAGCTGTGGAAAGCTTTTGGAGCTCACTGAGCAGGTTCAGGAAGCAGTCCTGGCTGTCATGTTTGTATATTCCCAATGTATTTGCAGCATATTTCAGGTGTTGCACAAGGAACTGATATATCTCCTTTGCTTTGCAAACACGTAAGGCCAGGTCTGTAAACTTAATTTAAATGTCTTTGTTAGCCCAGTGCTTGAGATTAACAGGCTGTACTGTAATTCTGAAGACAGGGAGTTGTTCTGTTACTGAGAACCTCCACATCTTCTCTGCATTGCTGACACTTCTCTTTTAAACCTCTTGTCTTAAAGGGATATAATTATTATTTTTAATATTTAACTCAGCACTGGTATTATAAATTTCATAAATAAACTGTTTCTGACCCCCAGTCTATGAATGAAATAGAAAGACCCACTGAAGGTGTTAACCTGAAATGATTCTTTTATTGTTGCCCAGATTCTTTAGAATTGCAATTCATTATATCATCCTTTTTTATATATGATGCAATATGGAAAAGGGAGTCCAAGCCATCTCCCATTCAGTCCTTTCTTCCAAGAGGAAATTCCACATCCAGTTTGCATTCAGCTAAAGAAACAAACATCTCTGTACACTCATTCTACTTTGAAATAGTTCCTCCTTGTTTGAAATCTGAGCTGTTAAATGTTCTAGTGCTGGAAGCATTTTTGCATTTCTGTTGTAGTTGTGCTGGTCAAAAGAACAAACACAGGTTGCTCAGTTTCCCAACACTTGCCTCAGCCTCCCAGACTGCTGAAAATGTGCCTCTTGATGCTTTAGCAAGACAGTAGTTCATTCTTTCATGATGAATTATATTTTTGCTGACAAACTTTATGTCGAGGATTACATTCCTGGGAGGAATGCAGGCAGCCTGTGAACAGAGTGTGTCTTTATGTGTGTGTGGCTCTCTGGGAAGCTGAGCAGGACTCGCAGCCCGGGGCTGCACCACTCCCCTTCTCCAGGCTGAGCTGGCAGGAGCAGTTGCAGGAGTCAGACTTGGCACTGGAGTCATGGAGAACGTGTCCCACGTGATGTGGGATGCGCTGCTGGCCTGCTGGGGGGAGATGGAGTTTTGCCTACCTGTGGTGGTGACAGATCTGTGGTGCTTGAAGGTGAACAGCACCAGGGGCTGCTTTTTGGCTACCCAGCACTCCCCCTCTGTCCTCAGCTCTCTCCCCTTCAGGTCCTGCAGTGATGTAGCAGGGAACAGAAGGCTCAGGGCAGACCTTACTGCTCTCCACAGCCACCTGAAAGGAGGTTGTGTGGAGGTGGGGTCGGGCTCTTCTCCCAGGCAGCTGGTGACAGGACAAGGGGAAACGGCCTCAAGTTGCACCAAGGGAGGTTCAGGTTGGACATTGGGAAAATTTTCTTCAGTTGGAACAGGCTCCCCAGGGAAGTGGTGGAGTCATCACCCTTGGAAGTGTTAAAAAATCAAGTTAATGTGGCACTCAGTGCCATGGGTGATGTTCTGTCAGAGGCTGGACTTGATCTTGAAGGTCTTTTCCAACCTTTATGATTCTGTGAAGGCACTCACGTGCAGAAGTACAGGCCAAGGCTGTATTTTTTGAGTGCCTTTCCTCCAGCTGGCCTTTGGACTCTTTCTAGGGTATAATTGAGGGGCAAGATTATATAGCAAGAGCAATTCTCCATGAGATTTTTATGGATTTTTCTTCATTTCCAGTTTCACTTAATTGCCTCAGTATTTTGCATACCTCAACATATTCTAATTCTGCCCTGTGACTGCAATGCTGTATTTGGAGCCAAGGGCACAGAATGGTTCAGGGTTCCCAGTTATATTTTTTTTACTGTTCTCCTTTAAACTGGTATTATATCAAGGAAGGTGGAATTACAAACTCCATCATTAGCACTGACTTTCACAAGGGGCATTTTCTGCTCTGTGGGTGGAAGTTTAAACATGCAACTTCTGTCCCTCAGGCAACAATTTAACTCATTAACCTATTATATTACCTAGCCCAATGAAAAGATTTTTAGAAGAGGAAAGACACATAGGAGCCTTGTAGCATGTTGGCTTTGCCATATTTTTTCTTTGCAGTTACAGTGGGTGCTCTGTAAATACTAGGCCTGTATTAATCTCAGATAACCCAATGTAAATCCAGGGTAACTGTCTTTCATTCTTCTCTGCAACCCACTGGCCACAAGCCAAGGATCTCACTCAGCACAGTGGGTCAGATATCAGTCTCTCTTGCATTAGTGTAAATCCTGATTAATTCAGGCACTTAAGTTAGCACAGGCTTGTGCCCGTGCCACGCAGAGCAGGATCTGACCTGATGGACTGTGCAAAATCTTTGGGTAGGAACCATCCCAGATTCGTGCTCTGAGGTGAAAATAAATACGTGACACGTCAAACTGGGCTTCAACTGGGAGAGAAAGCGGAGGAGAA